TGTATGTGTCACATGTTGAGCACTTTTGTACAGGAGAGGGTAGTGATTGAGACAGATTCTCTGAGGTCAGGTGGGGCCACTGTTGTTTGAGAACTGAGTTTTCCACCCACTGGACTATGATTACCTTGAGGGCAGTGGCTTCTTGTGTTTTTCTTATCACACACCCGTATCCATCAGGACAGGCTGGTTGAGCTGCCATCACAAACTGCCACAAACCCTCAGAGGCTTACAATGACAAGGGTTGATTTCTTGCTCACACTATGTGTCCCTCAGGGTCAAGCTGGGGCTTGGTTCCATGTCCTTGTTACTCTGGCATCCAGGCCAACTCATGGAACTTTAAGTCACAAGTCACTTCTTTTCACATCTCATTGGACAAAGGAAGTCACATGGCCCCATTTAAGTTAAAGATGATGGGGAACTTCAATGTACTTAGTGTTTTGAAGGAGAAAACCAGAAATATTGGTTAACAGCCTGAATAACTTCCACACCACTGTGACAGGATAACTAGGGCTTGGTGTCGTGTTGGCAGATGAATGAAACGGGCTTGCCACGAATTCAGAGCTAATAAAAACAAGGAGCTTAAGGAGCATGGGCCTGGGGAGTTCCAGAGCAAATCCTGTTGATGTCTGAGTGTCAAGCTTCTGTATTTGAAATATAAGACACATGGGCCCTTTAACTTTAAATTTTTGTCTTCATCTGTAAGCTAAGCAGGTACTTACTGAGTTGGCATTTCTAGCTCCCTGATTTGAATGCTGAATGCTGAATGCTCTTCAAGGTCTCCCAGGGAAGTGCCTGGTGCCTGAGGCCAAACCCTTGGGCTATTTGCCCAAACACATGCCAGTGAAGTTGATAATGGAAATCCCAGGTGTACACAGCTGAAAAAACGTGAACAAGGTGTGGGGTTAGCTCTCATGCCCAGCTGTTCCCATCACGAAGTGAATGCCAGACCAGCAGAGCTATGAGGAGGATGGGCCTGGGCTCCAATAGGCTGGGTTCAGATCTCATCTTTGGCACTTGCTGTCTGGCCTCAGTGAATGACCTATCCTTTTTGTCCTTGGTTTCCTTTCCTGAGAGTGTCAGTGATAGCATCCTGCCTAACACTGAGCTCAACGGTGGATAGTAGCCATAATCCTGAATATTATGACTTGGTTCTCCACACTAAGATGCCCAGTGCTCATAGCCTCAGGTTTTCCACATATGACATAGAAATACTGTTGAGGCCTCATGGGATGGTCATGAGATGTCAATGGGATTAAATAGTGGAACATGTTACGCAATGCTGACTCTTGATTAGTAACTGATAACAAGGCATTTTTCCTGGCCTCTCAACTCACCAACTGTGTGACCTCAGGCAGGTTGCTTTAACTGATCTGTGCCTCAGTTTCCCCACCTGTAAAGCAAGCATTGATATGTATATAGCCACATGCAGAGATTCTGAACCTCTGTTTTCACAAGTGCGACAGTCCCTATACCAGTGTTTCTGACCATTGGAAAGAAATTACAAGGCAATATTTTCTCAAGAGTCAAAGATGCCAGCACCCTAACATTATGGCTAAGGTCTGAAAGCTGGTCCATGACTCCACCTCTGCATCACTCAGCCCTTCTCACCTCCACCTTGGAGCCAATCCAGCATGATGCCTCCCTGCCTCCCCACTCCCTTCTTCCAACCTCTTTGCACTATAGACAGAACAATCTTTCTAAGATGCATCCTGACCAGGTCACTGTCCAGCTCAAATCTCTCCAACAGGTGCCTTTGGCCTCAGGGTAAGAGCTAAGTTGTGTAGCATGGTGCACAAAGACCTTCACAGTCTGGTCCCCATAGGAACTTCACAGAATATTCCTTTCAGGAGGCTCTGCTCCTGCTAGGCTGCACTTTGTAATTCTAGTTGGGTTCTCCAAAGAAACAGAACCAATAGAATGTCTATATCTATATCTGCATCAGTGTCTATGTATACAGCTTTATCTGTTATGAAAAGTTGGTTCACGTGATTGTGGAGGCTGAGAAGTCTGATGATATGCTTACTGTCTGCAATCTGGAGACCCAGGAAAGCTGGTGGTGTAATTTAGTCCAAGTCTGAAGACCTGAGAACCAGTGGAGCTGATGGTGTAAAGCCCAGTCTGAGGGCAGGAGGTGAGATGTCCCAGGATAACACTGAGGCAGGAAAAAGTGGACAAATTCCTCATTTTTCCTTTTTGTTATAGTCAACCCTCAGTGGACTGGATGATGCCCATCTACATGGAGAGGGCCATCTAGTCTCCTGAGTTGCTTGAATCGAATGTTAATCTCAGCCAGAAACACCCTCACAGACACACATAGAAGTGATATTTAATCTGGGAACACCATGGCCAAATGAGGTGGCACATAAAATTGACCATGCCCTTCTTGACTCTATGCTTCTGCACAGGCTGTTCCCTCTGCCAGGAACTCACTTCCAGGTTGCATCCTCCTGACTAATTCCTATGTACTTTTAAGGATCTAATTTGGTGTCACTGTTGTAGGGATTCCTTCCTGGATCTGCCATTCCTCCCCCCGCACCCCCTCCCTGTGCCTCTCTTCCCCCACCGCTGCCCTGGCTGGTTGGGAGTGCCTCCTCAGGCTCCATGTGTATTCTTCTGCCTCCCTACTTCCTCCTCACTTGACTGGGAGCTTCTAAAGGGCAAGATGATAAACACACTTGTAAGTGCCCATATATGTGCTGGGCATTGTTCTAATAATGTGTTTAATATTCATAACTACCTTCGGTTACAGTTGCTGTTTTTACCCCCATTTTACATAGAAGTAATTAGCATGGAATAGTTAAGTAATGTGCCCATAGTCACACGACTAGTTAGTAGCACAGGAAGCACTCTGACAAGGCTGTCATGAGCAGAAACTTGGTATTTTTTGAAATGTGGCAAACAGATTGAGGAAGAAAAACATCAGCCTTAAACAAGGGGACAGAACTCAATTCTAGGGCAGGAAAAAACCTTTAAATATAATTAAGAGCACTCAGATATTTGTGCTTTCATGAGAAATTAGGGGGAGGGAAAGGGGAGTGAGGCATAAGAAAAGTTGGACCACCCACCCTTGGCTGGCAGAGTAGGAGGTGGGATGAGGACTTCTTGGTTTGGAGAGAAAGCTGTACAACATGAATATGTAATGCATATGCTATACATATTTTAGTCAAATCAGTAGGGGAGCAAAAAAGAACAGCATACTGATTATCTATTGTTATGGAAGTTCACTCCATGGTGTCCTGGGTTGTGCATTTCATTGTTTGGGGATAGGTAACTCCTTGGGGCCTCTGGTGAAATCAATGGGCACTTACAGGTTTGAGTTGGAGATTTGGGGGTTTCACAGTGCAGGGATGCAATATGGTATCTTTTCCCCTTCCGACATTTTAAACTATTTTTGAGGTCCTAGTAGAGAGGCAGGGAAAGTCTATGAAGAACTTTGTTCATGTATAACCTTGTGAAGCTGTGGGATTAAGTTAAGCTAGAGATTAAGGGGAAAATAGGCAAGAGGAATCCAATGTTGGGCTGCATGTTCTCTTGGATTTCAACTATTGTCATGGTGAGCTGTGTGACGGGATTCATTTCCAATAGGCAAAGTGTGTCTGTGCCCTTGAGGTGGCAGTTTGAGGTTTGGTGACATTTCTTCTTTGCTCCTTCAGCATCAACATGCTCACGAGAGAGGATCTGATTGGCTTAGGATGCCACCATATATCAGAAAATGCCCCTCCCTGGACAGAATTGTTTCCAAGACACCTGCCTAGCTCACGTTGCCTTGTGCATGAGTCCTTGGTCCAACCAGGAGGAGTCATGGTGGCTGGTCTCACTTGAAAACATGTGATCTGGAGAGGAGCAAACTGATTGGACATGTTGAAAAAAGGAGGCTAGAAAAATGATAGGCAGTAATTACAGCTTTGTCTATGCCATGTTAGTTAATTTAAGTTTTGCACATAAATCCTATACATAGTGTCATGGTGGATTCATTTATGAAATGTGAATTGACCTGATTTCATCATGTTCTTGCTCCTGAAACTGATGATTGGCACCACACAAAGGCAACCATAAGACCACATGGACTTGTGTAGCAGGGTTATTAGCTGAATCTATTGATGATAAACATGGGCAAAGATGCAAATGAAACTTTTCATCATGAGACATTAAGATCACCCAGAGACAGCTGGAAACAGCAGATTTCTGTTTGTGTGCAAAATACTGCATAGCGTAAAACGCCAAGCTTCCAAGAGAAAATGCTAAGATTTCTGATTATGAGCAGTGAGAACAGCACCTCTGAGTTGAGGGCTGAGGATGACAACAACAGGTCTGATCCTTCTATCTCCTCAGGAAACTTTTTTAGACCCATGAACCCCACAGCAGGCTGGCAGGTGCCCAAAGTCCCACATACATAGTTCCTTTACTTTATTCTTCTGGTTTCTCTACCCAAGCAGTTCAAAACCAGTGCATAAAATGGGAGCCAGGAGGCTAAAATTGGGAAGAGATAATAAAATGTTGTAATGGTAATAAAAATTAAGGGCACCTTTTATTTAATTTCATTTTTTTTTTTAGCTGGGCTCCAGACCTTGTCTGTGCTGGTCCCATAAGGCCAAAAGTTGTCATAAGGTCTACACAGGCCAAGACAGATTTACCTCAGTCTTCTCTGTCTTCTGCTGGGGAAACACATGTCCCAGCTACTGAGGGGAGATCTTGGTCATGATGACAACCTGATGATGTGGGAAGTGTCAGGACCCGGAGGTTCAAATGCATACAGGGCCCAGTGAGTTAAAATAATGAACTGGGCCAGGCAGGGACAGACTTATTTGAGGGACACACCCCTTGGCTTTGCCCACTGTGGGCCGTGTGGACATGTAGGTGTGATTTCAGAAAGCCAAATTTTGTGTGTGAAATTTGCCAATTTTTTCCTAGTCAATGAAAGGGAAACTTTATTGAGGCCCCAGGGTCACGGGATATTGGTAGAAGGCCACCCTGCAGCCAGAGGAGGTAGTAGAGGGGCCTTATTTAATCTTCTTCTTGGCAGAGGTTGTTGGTGTGACTGCATTTGTTTTTGTGGCAGCTGACAGCACAGGGGTGCAGGTGAGTGTAACACTTGTGGCAGATCACCTTGTTGCAGTTGTATTTGTGGGCGAGCTGGAGGAGGGAGGGCTCACTGATGCCACCCCATAGATGAAGCACCAACCGTAGGGTGGACTCTTTCTGAATGTTGTAGTTTGAGAGAGTGCAGCCATCCTCCAGCTGTTTGCCTGCAAAAATCAGATGCTGCTGGGCATGCGGGATGCCCTCCTTGTCTTGTATTTTAGCTTTGACATTTTCAGTGGTGTCACTGGGCTCAGCCTCAAGGGTGATGGTCTTGCCAGTCAGGGTCTCACAGAGATCTGCTCCTCTCGTGTGCTGGGGAGGCCACTCTGCTGCCTCACTGAGAAGAAAGAAGATGGTGGAACTGGAAGCCACTGGAACCAGAAACCCCCAAATCTGAACTTTGCCAATTCTTATTTTCTAAAAACATTGAGCATACCAGACAGAATATTTCTGTGGGCCAGATGTGGCCTGTGATCCCCTGTCTCTATTATTGGATGTTTGAATGTGTGCCAGCTCAGTGCCTGGTGACCAATTAGCCTCCAACACCTGAACTCTCTTCCTCTCTTCCTTACCCAGGAAACCTCTGTACTATCAGGAAGGGAAATAAGATCAAGCCCAAGATAGGTAGAAGTTGTCTGTTTGTTGTTTTAATGGGCTAAGTCATCATTAAATTTTCCTGAGCTGATGGCTTTCTGTGGAAGAAATACCAGCCAAGGTCGAACACCTTGAGAGCTCTCTTAATCTTTCTGTAACCCCATTAACACTCACTCCATATTTCCTGTGAAAAAGGGTTGGGGATGACCAGAGCCCACAGCACAGAAATCTCTGTCACACACCCAGCCGAGGGGAAAGGTTGTGGGAACACATGTGGGGAAACATTGTTAAAATAGGGGGACCGGGAGCAGGAGGAAGAATTGCTTGACGCTGGAAATCTTAAAGCTTGATAATCATTATAATAGAGTCACCTGTACTTTGCCATCTAGAAATATCTATTACCTTGAACCTGGGGTTAGATGCCTGCTCCCCAGGGGAACTCTGGAAACAGAGATTTATTTGTGCAGCAATAATTGAAGAGTTCATTTGTTTCCAGTGTGGATCTTTCAACCACAATCAATTTCATTCTCCATCATAAATAATGGAGGTCGCCCAGGCAGCTATGCAGCCTGGTGCTGTTGACAGTGCTCAAATAGCATCAACAGAGAGAGGGGCACATCCCTGTGACAGTGAGTTTGGAGGGGGGTTGAGTGGCAGATGTGTGTGTGTTTTAACAGAACTTTTTTCTCCCCCTTAAATGGGAAAGACATTGCATTATTAACTACAAGGGGAGCAATAAGATTGTGTCAGTGGATCTGGCACTTGGGCAGCACCTGGGGGAGTGTGCTGTAGTTGTACCATGTCTTCTCCAGGCCCCTTAGGCACCAGGCCTGCTTCTAAGGGAATCTCAGTCGCTGGAGGAATTAATAAGCTTTCTGCTGTAATTGGCAGGGTTTCAGGGGTGCTCCAGGTTAGGTGGCCTGAGGCACTGTGGGGAACGACTGTTTGAAGTCTGAATTGTATGAAGATAGAGAAGAAAGGATTAAAAAAACCTGCCTTGACTGCTTTACAGAGATTTTGATTGCTAATAAAATAAAATGTAGAAATTTTAAAACTTCCCATCTCTGAAATATACTGACTTAAATCTATCCCGCAGCTTGGTCCTCTTCCCCTGCCTCACAGGGCTGCTGAATCTCTGACATCTCTTTCCAGCCTCAGGGCCTTTGCACATGCTGTGTCTTTTACCTCAGACCTCTTTTTTCTCATCACTTGGCTCAGTCTTACTCGAACTATGGATCTACTTTCAATATAACTTCCTCAAGGACATCTTCTAGACCAAGTTGTATGTTCTCATGGCAACCTGTACCACTCTTTCCTACTACTGGTCATAGTTGAAATTAAACAATCACTTGCATATTTGATTGATAAATATCCACTTCCCTCTCTAACCTGAAACCTTCTTGGGAAATGTGACAATGTCAGTCTGGTTCAATATTGTACACCCAGCGTGCCATGAGAAACTGGAAGCTATCTTGTCAGGTGTGTAGTCTTCCTGTGTCAGTTCTAATGTCTTCCTGTGTATTCTTGTAGCGTGGTGGCTCAACTGGCCAGGAAAAGGAGGCAGGAATCTGGGGCTTATTTGGGACAAATGAACATACTTTTGGCTGACTTCCAGGGTGGTAGCCACCACTCAAAAACTGATGTCTGGAGGCCAGCTGGGCTGGATATTGGGGTATCATCCAGCAAGTAATCCCAAGTCAGCCGGTGGCAGCACCATCAGTCTAGGTGGTTGATCCATTTCAAGTAGACAGATATTCAGACAGTGAGCAAGGGTCGAGTTCAGGTCAATGAAACATATAGAGGCAGGTTTTGGAGTTCCTCTTGGGAAAGTTTTCCTCCCTTTTAAGGGAGAAAACACCAGAAGAAGTGGCTCCATTTTCCTCTTACATTGTTTTCTCCATTTCCTCCATTACTTTCCTGCTGTGAACTCGTGAAACTTAGAACCACTGTTGCTCTCTTGAGTCATGAAGATGGTAGGCAGCACAAATCCCACACATACTGAGGATGGCAGACTGGATGATGGAAAGCACATGGGTTTTTGATGGTATTGTTGAGCCCTGGATCATATTACACCTTGGCCCATACCTCTTTCTTCACTAGAATTACAGTCTCATGAGTTTATAAATGGTCTTGTTGTTTAAGACATTTGAGTGATTACTTGCTGCTGAAGACATCTAAACTGATAGAGTTATGTTCCCTCATCCCTGCTCTTCATTACTGACCTCCTCATTATCATATATTTCTCTGAGTGCCACTTTCTGTTGGGCGGGTACAGGAATTTCAAGACTGTACTTGGCTGCTGGGTGTATTCTTGTAGTGTGCTCTCTCTTCTCCTTAAGTCACTGTCAGAGGGAACAGACAAGCATTGACAAACAGAGTTTTTACAGAGCATTGCACCTCACAAAGGCCTCACACACTCTTGATCTCATTTGATCTTCATCACAACCTTGTAAGATGATCTAAGCTAGGACCCTTACCCATTTCAAGCACATGGAAGGTGAAGTTTGAATGGAAGTGACTTTCCCAGGTCATCCAAGAAGTCATGAGAGGCAGACATTCAAACTCAGGTCTTGAAACTTCTGTTTTGTACCCCTGGCCATAATGACCTCTTTGGAATAGACACTGGGGGTGATACGAAATTTTCATTCATTTCTCTACTCCTTTCCAGTAGGGAGGGATGCCACAGAATCTGCAGTCATGATTTAGAAGTACTGGTTTTCCCATAAACCTTCCTACCCTTTAACAATCCCATGGCCAGTAGGGCCTGCTTTAGGGCTCAGCCAGGCAGAACATATCTGGATATGTCCATGCCAGAAGGTAAACTTAGGGGCCTGAGTGCTCATCTTCTTGGGTTGTAGAAACCTAGCTTCCTGTCCTCTGAACCCAAGACAGTGGGGTGGCTGGGACATCACTAAGTGGAGTTCAGTGCCACCATGAATGTTTGCAGCATTTGAAAGGTAGAGGGCTCATTAACCCACACCAGCTGCAGATATGAGAACAGCTCCAAGAGAGTGATAATGTGTCTGTTTGCCTCAGTGACTCTGGTTCCGAAGTGAAACCAGGAAAGGAACCTGGTACCTGCTCAACTCCCTACACTCTCCCAACTCAACTGTCCTCAAGCTCTATCTGTATCCCTAATGTCTCTACTAACCAAAGATGGCCTTACTGTCTGGCTTATTGAGAAAACATAAAACACCAAATCCCATGCATCTTCCCAGCTCAAGTCCTTCCTTGGACAATGTGTGTGAGATGTCAGAAGGACATCGCCTTTGATGCTATCATCATCAACACCAAGATCATCTCTAACACAGAATCAACAGCAACTACAATATCAAGAACTGAGGCTTATCAAGAACTCTATGTGCTTGGTGCACTGCTAAGCACATTTCACTCTATCTCACTGACTTCTCACAACTGCCCCATGAAATCAGCTCTGATGTCATCCTCCATTTACAGATGAGGAAGCTGAGCACAGAACACTCAGTAGCCTGCTTGGAGCCACACACTTATTCATGCTGAAACCAGGATGGATACCAGGTACTCCGCGACCTTGCGCCTGAGTTTTTGCTGCTTCTTCAGAAGGAAACAGAAGTAGCCAGCAATGGATCAGATTCCATCCCTTGCACAACTACATCTCATATTCCTAATGTTCAGGATCAGGAATGGGAATGTGGAAGCAAACAGGGAGCAGTTGTGCCAACTGGCACTGTCCTGAGGGTTAACAGAGATATTACTGAGAATCAGAGAGGATTGGCCAAAATGGATGCTGGACAAGGCATTAATGATGCCCAGGGGTCCTCCTCTTAAAGAAAGAGGGAGGGGCTTGGGGCGCTTTCTCATACACCTTGTGGCTTCCTACTTTCTCCTCCCAACAGGAGGAGCTGCGCTTAATTCCAGTTTTCCATAAGCCTTTCCCACAGAACTCTAGAATTCCAGATGCCAGCCTCTATCCCCTAATGTCAAGGCTGCACTCACACTCACCCTATGGCGAGGGAGAGTAAGTGTAGTGGGGTGGGGTCTCTCCCTAGAACAGACTCCCACAGAGGGTCCAGCCGAGCACTCTGGTCTTGGTACATGTCTGTCTGGGGACAACTAGAAGACTGTGGGATCTCGTCTCCTCCTACTGACCCTGGTTCTAAGTCTCTAATAAAGCCATCTGTGTGACACTGTGGCATTTCTCACAGACCCTGCACCTGACAGGTGGCAACCACAAAGGGACCCACCTTACTGAGGGTGATATGGCTCTGTTCCTGGAACATAGTGATCCCTCAATTGCCTGTTGTCAAGGAGTCACTGTGGTCATGATAGTCATCTCCACTGTGAGTGTGGGCATCACCACACCTGCCCTTTCCTCTGCGCCTCTGCTTTGGAGTCCTTGTAGCCCAGAAATTGGAAGGGTCACTTTAAGAAACTGGCCCTCATGTTTCAGTACTGCATCAGAGAAATGTCAGGGGCCGAGTCTTCTCTGCAAAGTAATGTGTCCTGTCAATGAGCCTTCAGCCCTTAGACCTGCAGGACCACTGACAGAGGCCCAAGAAGATTTACTTTGTCTCACTTAATTGTCCCCTCCCTCCCCCCTTTTTTTTGTAAACACAGAGGTTGCAGCTTATGGTCTGACAGCTAGAGGACCCTTTTTCTTACCAGGAAAAAAATGACATTTGGGCTCATAAAAAATGTTTCTCTCAGATCTCTCCAAAAGACTCCAACCCCTGTTTGCCACCTGCAAGGACTTGGGGTTTTTTCAGAAAGATAATAGCGCCGATATGAGGCAGACTCCAGTGGCCTTGGGCAAATGGCTATCCCTCCCTGGCCTCGGCTTTTTCATCTATGAAACGGGGATGATAATAAACTAACCACAAAAGGTTGTTCCAAAAATTCACTGGTGCAGTGCAGCAGAGTTATTGGGAGTGAGAGCTCGGACCCAGAACTCTTGGGTTCAAATCCGAGCTCTGCCACTTACTAGCTATGTGATTCAGCTTCTCTGTGTGCCTCAGTTTCCTGTTGTGTCAAAAGCGGATGCTAATAACAGCGCTTATTGCAGTTTATTAGGGAGGTTAAACAAGTTAATATGTGTAAAGCACTTAGAAGAGTGCCTGACACATAGTGAGGGCTATACAGTGGGAGTCATTTAAATTAGCAGGTGCTGTGAGCTTAGCTCATGCCTGGCATATAGTGGGGAGCTATTATTATTTTCTTCCAGACCAAATGTTACAAAGAGACCCCTCAAGGAGGCTTTTGTTAGGATTTAATAATTTGGGGATTTCAAATAAAATGCAGATTCTGACTTCTCTTGAGGAACTGGAGGATGGATGATATCATTGGAAGCACATTTCTGCACAACAGTTGCTGGGCTCAGCAGTAGCTCCTGACACCGGGAGGATCTGTGGGCATTTGGATTCCCTGTCTCCCATCCACAGACCCCTGGAGATGTTCTTACTCTCAGAGGCCACCACAGAAAGCTCCCCCTTTTCTTCTCCCAAGATGCTTGTCCAGTGTTAAGCTCAGGAAATTTATCATCTTGCCACGGAGGGATGTTTTAGCCTTGGCTGGGAGGTGGCCACTTTTGGTCACATGGGGTCTGCTGATTTCCCCAAAAGACTCTATCCATTTTCAGAGTGAAGGTTTTTAAGAATTCTCATGTTTCTGTTTATGACCAAATGTTAGCCATTTTACTTCAGTCCAATCACCAGGTGACTGGGTCCTTAGAATACTACATGGCTACATGAGACCTCCTATGCTCTTCAGTTTAAATGCAGGAATGATTATGAGCCTTAAGTAGATATTGTTTAACTGCATATTTGCACATAAATTGCTCCTCTACGAATTCCAAAAATCTACTCACCACTGCCTTGCTTTTCAGATTTGCATACTTTGTCTCGTTGAAAACTTTAGCCTGACTATAAAACAGTCTATAAGGAAATGCCCAACAATATGAACCTATAGAAATCATTTCCAAGACTTACCTCCTCCCTGAAAAAAGAAAAAAAGAGGAAGACTACTTTAGCAAAACAAGATCTGAACAGCAGGCAGGTACTGGGTCAATCTTATAAATAAGTAAAAGAGCTGGGTGGGTAAGAGGTGGGTAGGTGGTAAAAGGGAGTGGTGTGGAGTGGACTGGGGCACGCACATTCCATCTAGAAGAGGCAGTGGAGGCTGCTCCATCCCATAATGACCAAGCAGGAATATGGCCCAGGGATATCAGATAATTCAATTTAAAAGGAAAGATTGGAAATCTTTATTTTTATAAGTAATCTTCTAGCTTTTGTTAAATATGGGCAATTAACAAAAACTAAAAACAAACCACTTTATGAGCCAAGCAAAACATGCAGGGAATTGTTTTGGGCTCTGAGGTGCAGTCTTTGTGGTGTGGAATATTAGTGACATGCTTAGGACTAGCTGATTGGTCTCAACTACCAGAATCACTGAAACTCTGGACTCTAGACTTTTTATCAGTGAAATGGAGACATGACAATTTGTCTAAGAGTTATTGTTGAGTATTAAATGAGAAAATTCTCATGTGAAGCTTTGCGCATTGCCAGCAAGTAGTATACTAAAAGCCCAGATAATAAATGGGGATTGTTGGAGGCTTCCTATGTGAAAAGCACATAATGTTTTGCTCGTGATTGTCAAACTGCCTTTTCCCTATGACCACGGTGGTGGATTGTGTCCAATGAAAACACAGACATGATTTGATCTCGGTGATTTCCAGGTGATTTCCTGACACTGTCTCCTTTTAAAATAATTCCTCCAGGGCTGAGTACACTGGCCCCACAGGGTGTAGCTTCAGCTTCCCTTTCCTGCCACAACTCAGCAGAGAAATGCAAATATTGCTCTTTGCTGTGCACTCAGCTTGGCTGCTAGTTGATTCAGGAAAGACCAAATGGGGGGCAGTGTGGCATCACAGACTGAGTCAAAGAGGCCCTGGGCAGGGGCTGCTGATTGCCAAGTCCTTCCTTGGCACGACATAAGCAGTCAGCAGAAGGTGTTTTATATACTGCCCTGAATCCCTGTGAATTAGCCTGCCATTAACATGAAAAATATTAAGCTATAAACAGTTGTGATATTTAACAGTCTCTACAGAGTCCCATAGCAACAGGCTTAACCAGTGCAGACTGCATTAATAAGCAGTGGGGGCCACACAGCAGGAAGGGACAGGCAGGCTCGGGGTGCAACAAAAAGTGCCAGGCTGAGGATATGCACATACAGACATACCTCCACATGGGCACATTCACATGCACATACATGTTCACATGCATATAGGAAACATTTATGTACAAGTACATGCATATTCAGAAGTGTGACATGCCCAGGCAAAGGCACACACATGCAAAATCATATTCACAGGCACTGAGATACCCCCAGATCATCCTTGGACTCATACATGAACCCAGGAGCACAGTCACTTGCATCTATAAATGCGCACACACACACACAAGCACAGACTCGTCTCCCAGTGCTGAATATTGTGATTTGATTTGATCTGAGAGCAAAACCCATTTGAAGTAGAGCTGGCCAAATGATGACTTCACTTAGTAACTGCCGGCTTTGGTGACAGTTCCATGTGATTTGGCACCAACAGAACAGTGCCTTTGTAGAAGGTGAAGTACTGAGGCTAAAAGAATATGAGCAATTGGTGGACTTTTAATGAGTCATTTAGCTGGTACAGACTCTGATGTTTTTGCTTCCCTGGGTTTCTACTCAGTGGTGGAGCTCATGGACTTTCCATGGCTCCCTCTTGCCTTAGATTTGGTCCACACTCATGACGTTCCTACTCCTGTGTCTTCACTACTGGTTCTAGCCCATCTTTGCTACTCTTCATTATGTACATTACTCTCCAAATATCCTGTGCAATTTTCTTTTTCTTTAAACACCCTGTTCTTTCATTTCCCATGTCTTTGCACATATACTGTCATCTGCCTGACAAGCTTTTACTTTCTCATTTTTCAAAGCCCAGCAGAAATGTCAGTTCTGGCAATACTTCTTGACTCACCAGGCAAAAATCCATTCATTTATTATGAGCCTACTATGGGTTCACCCTGTCCTAGGATTTAAAGATGGACGTAATGTAATTCAGGCCCATGGGGAATTCCCTGGAATTAGCCAGAGTGGCACTTTGGCCATTGTACTGGACGTATTTGCATGTTTGCACTCTTCCTAAACAATGAGCTTCTTGAGGTCTGAAGCTGTGCCTTTCATCACCTTGCCCTTAGGGCCTCTCACAGCACCTGGCTAGAGTAGATTGGTAAAGCCTCCTCAGGCAGGAGAGAATCTGTTACAATAAAATACAAAGGGTAGCAAACCTGCTGTGAACTGTAAGTAGACTCATTGGTGTTGAGCCTTGTAATTGAGGGAGGAAGGAGGTGATCTCATGGACACCATCTTGTGGAAGATTTTAAGTGCTATGTTGCCATGGCTTTGGTTGCTGAACTAAGAAAGAGCAGTTTGCAGAATGTTTACACTCCTGTGACTGTCAGACTTCAACCAGGAACAGGTTTGGGGACAGCCTGAGAGGCCACTAGGAGCAGGGATGGAGAAAAGCGGACTAAAACCTACAGCATCCAGGACCAGGGGGCCTGTTGGGTAGGGTTAGATAGAGAGGGAGGGTTGCATAAGTCTGGGTCTCTGCTTGGTTTACTCGATGTGCAGAGGTTTCATTCCTGAGATAGGGAGACATGAGGAGCAGGTTTGGGTGATGAGGCTAATTGTGAGAGGATGATTCATGCAAATTATTTTATTAGGAAGTGATCCCAGGAAAAAATTGGTAGGAAAGCAGAACAGGGCAGGAGATGAGGCCAAACAGTGGTGTTGTAAGTAGAAAAGTCCAGGGCAACTGTGGCAGAGACTTGCAGGGGAGCCCTGGAGACAGTGTATGTCATCCCTCAGAGTTGTCCCAGTTGTGGGCCTGCACCTGTCAATCATTAGTTAAAGACTGCCTCCAGTGGGGACATAAATCCCTAGGTACTTGTGGCCCTGTGCATGTGCAGGCAAAGTGCCTCCACAGCCTATGTGCAGCCCTCCAGCAAAAACAAAGCAGATGTTGGCTGTTGGGAGGGGAGACCGCAGAAGGATGGCCAGCGCAAAACCAGAAGAAGGATCTAGGGAGTGTGGAAAGAGCACTGATGGGCTGAGTTGGAGAGTTTGAGACATATTGATTTTGGGTTACATGTGGGATGGG